ACCTAAGAGCCATGGCCTCCAACCTAAGAGCCATGGCCTCCAACCTACTAGCCATGGCCTCCAACGTAAGAGCCATGGCCTCCAACCTAAGAGCCATGGCCTCCAACCTAAGAGCCATGGCCTCCAACCTAAGAGCCATGGCCTCCAACCTAAGAGCCATGGCTTCCAACCTAAGAGCCATGGCCTCCAACCTAAGAGCCATGGCCTCCAACCTACTAGCCATGGCCTCCAACGTAAGAGCCATGGCCTCCAACGTAAGAGCCATGGGGGCTGGGTTTTAATTGTGCCCTGTAGTTTTTTTTGCGCCCTGTGCAGCCCTGGTTGTTTCCGCCCTGTAGGCTTTTACCCTACGAAGGTTTCTTTTCTGCCCTGCAGGGTTTCTGTCCAGCCCTGCAGGGGTTTCTTCTCTGCCCTGCAGGGGCATTGGTTACTCACCTAATAACGTATATAAAGGGTCCCTTTTTCGTCCTTCGCAGGCCTCCGCGGCCTCCACACTGTCAGGGCGTCGCACGATGCCGTGCTTCTTTTCGTTCGCACGACCAGCACGACCAGCCCGACGGAGCTCCCAGGCTCGACCCCTGCGCCGGGCCGTTTTCTTGCCTCTTCGAGGCGAGGGCCGTGGGTGCTGGGACCATGAATGATGGGATGTTTCTGGGTGATGAGTGGGACCATATGGTGATGGGTATGGATCGGTATGACTCTGGGTACATTGGTATCTTCGAAAGATTCTATTTTTAGGGTGTGTGATATATAATTGTAATTGATTATTGTATACAATATGCCTATTCCTATCATATTCCCAGTAGTGTCTTAGTGTGCTCTGAGGCATAGCCACCTTGTGTGCCGGGTGCATACATGACAGAAGGTTAAATATAAGATAATATAAGATTTAAGTCACCCTGATAGATTGAGCCAAAGCCATGTGTATGTGACAGACAATCTTGACGTACAAGCTGCTGCATCTTCCAAGTTTGTAGCTTGCACCATAAACGACCAGTAAGGCACATTGTGACACAACCCAAGCCAAAAGCATAGGGCAGAAATCTATATAGAGTGCCCCCATGTTACAACATGCTACCTGTAACTTGCTACAGTCTGCATCCTAACATAAACTATTTGAGGAGCGTCAAAAACCCTCAAGAAAGGAATTTAGATGCGGTTCATGTCATGTGATTCATGGCCAAGAGAGCCCGCGATAGGACCCCTTGGCGGAGTTCCTGGTCGCGGGCGACTTGAAGTCGGGCGGTGGACGTGGAGGATGGGCAAGCGGTGGTCCTCAGGTGCGGACGGGTCATCCTGTCGGAGGTGGATGTGGAGGATCTTTGAGAGGCGTTATAGGCGTTCCGTGTTTTGGTGTGGACGCCGTGTTCGCCGAGCTGTGGTTTCGGGCGGTGTCTTTTATGTTTGGCCTTGGTGGGGGGAGGGTTGGAGGTTGGGAAGGCGGGGCACAAGGAAGTAGACACCAAGATGTCCAGGATGGGAACCAGATGTCCTGGATGATGTGTGATGGTTTGTAAGGTTGCAAAACTCTAGATGCATTGAAATGTTTCATATATCATAGAGGTATGCCTGGATTTACTGTGGACAACTGAAGATGGCTTGGTTTGCACATTTTTGCAAAGCTGCCTGTTGAGACCGATCAACGCCTTTCAAGAGCGTTTCTTTGGGTGGAATCGCGGGGTCCAACCTTGCATGTAGTGAACCAGAGTGAACCTCTTGTCCAACCTTGCATGTAGTGAACCAGAGTGAACCTCCGTGCTCCATCCAGGATCATTAAAATCGCCCCCCGTCAGAAAATAGAAGAGTCCAGCCCGAAAAGCTACTCATTCCATGATCAATTCATGATCATCCTTAGTTACAAGAAGCACTTGAAGACTCCAGCTCCATAACCCACTCCTCAGCTGTTTGTTGCCCATGTCAGGTCTGCCGGACGCACGCTCCGGCCAGTCTGCACGGCCAATTTGCCCATCTTCGGTGGCCCGGGTGTTGCCGATGATTTGCGCAAAGCAGGGAGAGGTTCATGGTTTTGTTGGTTTGCCCAGTTTCTTCAGTTCGTGACCAGCCAGTTGTAGGGTCCCAAGCAGTGACCTTTTGAGGGCCCCCAAGTCGAAGTGACCTTGAAAGGGTCCCCAGGTGAACTCCATGAGGTGAAGGTCCCAAGCTGGTTTGATTGGGCACTCGGTCCACCAGGTACCGGCCTTGGGGAGATCGGGAGTTTCTTGACATGAGTGACTTGTTGCAGGACACACTTGGCCATGTTTCTGGGATTTCTTTCCAAGCCATGCCCACGCGGCCGTGATGGTTTGGGGGAGCACTTGATCTGCTGTGAAAAAGAATGACACGATGAGTTTAACGAGTTTTAACATCACCGTTGTATCTACAAAATGCCGGGCGTAGCTACACACATGCAATTTCTACGTTGATGTTTTAACCATACGCGACTGCCCTGCCTTTAGCAGCCCAAAGCTTCCACTCCTTGGCCACTCCAACCGGCCGCCGCCGACCAGTGCAGGTGGCAGAGATGCCCCGAAAGGTGCAATCCGCCCTCAACCAGGTGCCCTCCGACCGATCAATATATGTGTGTGTGCTTTTCTTTGCATGAAGGCGATAGCCGCTAGCCATGGCCTCCAACCTACTAGCCATGGCCTCCAACCTAAGAGCGATGGCCTCCAACCAAAGAGCAATGGCCTCCAACCTACTAGCAATGGCCTCCAACCTAAGAGCCATGGCCTCCAACCTAAGAGCCATGGCCTCCAACCTAAGAGCCATGGCTTCCAACCTAATAGAAAGAGAATGCTGAGAAGTTGCATTTCTTTTCAGCACAGGTGGGGAATGTACCTCACACGTGTCCTCCTGGACAGGGATTTGAGGGTGTGTATTGAGTTCGACGTTAAAGATCTGAGGTGTCTTATTTAGAACATTCACTTCTTCTCCACTGGTCCTTCTACTCAGCTTTGTAATTACTGCGGGAAGACCACTTGCAGACATTCAACATTGGTGCGAAAACGGCTCGTGTGTTCCTCGCTTTTGCTAACATCAAGACACTTTGGGAAGAAACATCTAAGAACCCTGTTGAACATGGGACGACAAATAAGCTGTGAAACCGCGACACCGGTGTGAAGCAACGCGACGGCGACACGGCGACACCGGTCTCGTTTCACCGGTCATGTTCGCCTCCCCGGCTGAGTCGCGGGGTCGATGGAAGACGATGGTCCAAGGCATCACAGGCAGCCTCCTCCGGCGAGCCGCTGCCAGGCTTCCAGTTGCTTTGAAATGGGCCATGGGGCATATTCTCATGTGGTTTGCGGATTTGGGGGAACGAGCAAGCTCGAAATGGAACGCCGAGAGCAGACCGAACTAGGACCGAACAGAGGACCCTCTTTGGAAAGGTCTGATTCATGTGGTTTGCGGTTCGTGGTTTGCTCTGGGTCACACCAACCCGGTTTCGGGCACGACCACCCGCTGGAGAACCCAAACTCGCGCTGTGCGGGTCTGGGGATGGTTGTTCGTGCTTCGATGGTCTGAACTGGGATCCACCTCCGCAGAGTTCTGACTGAGATGAGGCGAATGAGATGAGACCGTGGAGACCGGGTTCTTCCGTGAGACCGGAAACGAGATGCACCGGAATCTGCGGGTTGCGGGCCAGATTGGCACTTTGGGTTGGAAGAGGCTTGCAGCTCAAGATGGCTGGTGTTTGGTGTGTTTTGTGTTTGACCATCTCAAGAATACAGCATTTGGGGTTTGTTCTTGCACTTTGCTTTTTTGGTTCTGCTTTTGGGAGTATGAACACGTGGTACGCCCATCACTCAACTCACCCAATTTGCTGAAGCTAATAGCGCTGGCCTCCAACCCAGTAGCAAGCAACCCATACCCATACAAATTGGTTCTATTTGACTTGCCTACAGGTGCCTGGGCCTAAGCACGGCCAGTGACTCAACCCAGCCTATATAGATGTAGCCAATCAGGGGTAGCTTCAGATTCAGGGAAGTTTGCCGTGTCGAGAGTGGGTGGGGCTTCAATTCTGAAGAGTTCTGAGGAGGAAAGAGTTTGGGATGATGCGATGGTTATTTACAAACAAGCATTGAAGGCTCACTGCTCTCATATACGGAACTCGCCTTTCAGTGAAGTGCAACGGTGCGCGCCAAAAGCAGAGAGGGCGGGGTTTGCCCTGCCGACAGACTACTTGAAGAGAAAAAGCAGAAGAAAGGTTGACTTCACTTGATGCCTGGTTACGGTTCATTTTGCGGTCGGTTTGCGATCGCGGTGAAGCTCGCAACACGCTGATCCAAGAAGCTTATCCAGTCGTCAGGGGCCATTGGACGATATTGGATGCCCCTTGTTTTTCAAGTTCGCGGTCGTGTTCTTGACTCAAGGAACCATGGCATGGGAGTTCATTTCATTGGGTGAGAACAAGACACGACAAGTCAGCAAGAACACGACAAGTCGGTCAGGTGGGTCAACTGCTTTTGGGTCAACTGCTTTTACCGCGCACTCGCTCCGCCAACCCCCGACACCCCATCCCGCACTCAATCCGACTGGTCTGACGGAGAGCGACCTGGTCGGTTGAACAACAATTCAGATTCATTATTTTTCGGTTTTGGATGGTTTTGGTATGTTTTGTTGAAGGTCCACTGTCCCTCCCCTGCTCAATGTGGGTCCTATTGCAGGTATGGAATCGCAAAAGGAAAAGAATGATGGGCAACCTCCATCAATGGACATCAGGTTCTTCCGGCTCAGCTTGATGTTCAGGTACTCCTGTAGCACCGCACAGGAACATGCACAATAAATCTGTCACTGCTACAAGCTTTGAAGGCCCTGGAAATCATCATCCATATCCAGGAAAACACCGAGAACTTGCTGCTTCTGGTATCAAAAGGACGCTTCAGTCAGATTCACTCACTCTTCAGGAAACCACCACACGTCATGTGACCAACGCAGGCAAGGCGCAGGCGGTTGGCGGTTTTTCCACCTCGTACCCCTCTACCGGTCGACCTGGATCGGTCGGTCCGCAGGCGTTTGAGTTTTGCAGCAAACGAGCAGAGCGAGCATCGCAGGGTTAGCCGCAGAGAGAAAAGAACAAGAACACCCTAGAAGTCCAGTTCGACGATATTGAACACCCTGGCTGGAGGTTTCAGGAAGTTCCCAGACTCAGTTCCCAGACTCAGTTAGACCATTCTTTTTATAGACCGACTCCCAGGGAACATGTAGAGCAAGACGATGCCAGGCATGATGGCATGTGCGGAAAACGAGCCGCGCATTTCAGCTCGGAAAGGCATCGCATCGCACGACACGAACGCACGACGCTGCATGACAAAGCTGTTCGATACTGTAGAAGGAGCTGAGGAAAGCCTTCAAGTTTGTGATAAAAAGCGCGGCATCCAAACTAACCGTACTTGACGGAGTCGCGTTTCTTAGATTGAATGATCATCACTCATCACCTTTCATATCCTTTCATTAGCCTTTGCACCACTCTTTTGTCCTTGACAGATGGCTCCGAAATTGAGGTGCCTTGGAGCTTGGAGAAGTGAGAACGGTGTTGAAAGGCTGCCATTTCACGCAGAAAAGCTATTGGAAGCCATTTCCACATCCAACTTGAAGATGTGTTGTCTTTTTCCGAAAGTTTGTGTTCTGGCAGCAGCGTGCCATGACCAAATCTGCTTAACCTACGGCTCAGCCTCCAGAAAACAGGGGGTTACGAGAGGGATCGCCACCTCGTTGTCGTCTACGCGTCGCCACCGGTTCGTTTCTTCGGCGCTTTGGTCGTTGCCAAAGTTGCTGCTGCCGTTGCTGTGAGTTTTGCCGACGACAAGTGGCAACATGATCTTTGCAACAAAAACACCTTAGAGCGGGGACGCTGCAAGCAATCCGCCGTTACTAGCAGTGAGGGTATGTAGTTGTTTGTACATTTCCTCTTCACCTTTGGGGTATTGGTCATGTTGGGGGTTCATTGCCCGTGTTGTCGGAAACAGAAAAAAAACAGGTCCCTATTTTTCGTTGGTCCCATTCTATCATTCTGCCTATGGAAACCCGAACCTGCCTGCGAAACATCCTGCCCATGCTTTTCGTGGATCTGAGGCTGGGCAAGAAGCATGTGGCCGGTGAGGTGTCTCCACCCATCACTGACCATTCGGCACCCTCCGAGAGCCATGGTGAGCGGATGGCGCGCAGTAGCTTGAAGAAGGTCAGGATCGAGTTCTTTTGCTTTAACCTGAGAAGAGTAACAGTAGCTTTATGGATTTGAAGAGGCCATCGCTAGTAGGTTGGAGTTCTTTTTTGAACCAGATAAGAGTTCAGAGTAACAGTAGCTTTATGGATTTGAGGAGGCCATCGCTGGTAGGTTAGAGGCCATCGCTGGTAGGTTAGAGGCCATCGCTAGTAGGTTGAAGTTCTTTTGTTTTTTCCCCAGAGAAGAGTTACAGTAGCTTTATGGATTTGAGGAGGCCATCGCTCGTAGGTTGGAGGCCATCGCTAGTAGGTTGCAGGCCATCGCTAGTAGGTTGGAGTTCTTTTTTCAACCAGAGAAGAGAAACAGTAGCCTTATGGATTTGAGGAGGCCATCGCTGGTAGGTTGGAGGCCATCGCTCGTAGGTTGAAGGCCATCGCTAGTAGGTAGCAGTTCTTTTGCTTCTTTGTTTTAAACCAGAAAACGGTCACAGTAGCTTTTGGATTTGAGGAGGCCATGCTGGTAGGTTGGAGGCCATCGCTATTAGGTTGGATTTCTTTTTTAACCAGAGAAGAGTAGCAGTTGCTTTATGGATTCCGGGAGACCCTGTTTCTTTAATCGTCCTGGCTGGAAGCTGGCTTTGGGTGACTTCCTTGTGCAGTCCATTCTCCCGGGTGCAGTTTCTTCTGGAACCCAAAAGGACGTGTCAAGGTGATGTTCGACCTGAGGATCGAACTCCGGAAACGGAAGGTGACGGGCAGTCATTCAGATCCGGACGGCTTTGCTGGTGGATCTGGGGAGATGATCATGAGCGCAAGCAAAGCTGATTTTGATGGATTTCCTCCCTCAACTCACATGCTGTCACATGCACCTGAAGTTCAGTTCCCGTCTGAAAACCACCACCGGCACAGCTGGAATTCGCCTTCCTCCGACCACTGCAACGACACAGGCGGCGGAAAGCCTGCCAGAGATGGATCGGGTGCTGGGGCAGCTGCCGAAAGCCGTCAAGGAGTTCACCACGGCCTACAGTCACTCGGCTTGTGTTTTCACCTGAAGACGGGAGGTTCGAATGAAGGGAAGTTTCTATGTAGTAAGGCCAGGAGCTATTATAGTACGTGAAGTACCATGCAGATTCTATATATAGTTACTGTAGTAGTCATGCGTTCGGAGCTACCTTCGTAGCGTTCAGGAGCCATGTTCGTCCGAAAAAGACCGGCCTCCCGACCGTCCGAGAAGCGAAGACGTTCAGAGATGGCATGGACATGCATGGAACATCTCGTGTTTATCCAGTGTTTATCTAGTGTTTGGAACATCTTATCTACCAACAGAGGTTGAAGAACCTTAGTTCGGCTATCCCAGTTTGGTACCCTGGCAAGGTCCTATAAGGTCACTTAACCTCTGTTGGTAGTGTTTATCTTTTAGAGCGAGGCGGTGTTCGAACTTGATCCTTGGACAGCAGAGTGGCGCCCTGGCCGCGCCCTGGCCATTGTGATGGTCTCATCGTTCTCGTCTCGTCTCCGTCCGTCCGTGAAGACGGTCGACCGGTGCCCTGCGCCCCAGGTGAGCTGAGTAGTGATGCGTTGTTGGAGGGACCGCCCAACTTGGACCCCGCCAAGGCCCTAAGACAGGTGGGGCGCTCAGGCGAGCGACGGCGCGCGAGCGATGAAGGCGATGGGGACCTGTGTGCCGAATCGCCGGTTGTGCAAGTCTCTGCAGGGGGGAAGCTAGTCATGCACTTGGGACGAAAAATCCCATGAACTTGGCAACATATGCAAGATGTTTTCCGGGGTGTGCGTGTGTGTGTGTGTGTGTGTGTGAGGGTTGATGAGTTGCGTAGCGGATGCTGAGGGTCCAAAACTGTGCCTTCTTATCTGCAGGCAATATGTTCACGTTCCATCCATGGACTTTTTTCAGGTCCACTGATAGGTCGGGATATGTGAGGATGGTCCGCTTCCTACAGAGGTTAAGTGACCTTATAGGACCCTACAGGAGTACCCATATAGGATAGTCAAACTACGGTTCTTCAACCTCTGCTGCTTCCTTGCCTGCATGCAGGTCGTTTGGCATTTCCGAGATCTGTCTTGGAGGAGCACCGAGCGGACCACGCGCCTGGAGGATCTGGGACGACTAAGGTCGCTATGTTGATATATTCGCCAAAGGAAGCAGCTCAAAGCACGATATATTAGTGACAGCAGTTCACACTTCGTTGCTGATTCCGTTCAAGTCTTATTCTGATTTGCCAGGGTACCTAGTCTGACTGGTGCGTCTCGCAGGGTGGCTGAGGGTGGCTGGATCCAATAGAATCTCTAAACAGGGGGCTTCCCTATATTCCCTACGAGTCGCACCAGGGTACCTAGTGGATATCACTGGGTCCCGCGACACTCGCCCCTGAGGCCGTCGACATCGGTCGCTCGCCTCGGCGTGAAGGGATGGCCTTGGCCGGTTCGCGAAGATTTGTTGCGCAGGGCGTTGCAGCGAGGAGGAAGAGGCTTGGGTGGTTTTTGGTTCCAGGTGCTTCGGACAAAAGGGCTGTTTTGTTGCAATAGAACTGGGTTTGGTCGTTTTCATCGTAAACGATGGTCGAATTGGGATGTCACCAAACGCAAGAACCGTAGGCTCTTCTTTCATTCCCAGGGGCGTTCCACAATGAATCAGCTCAATGAGAGAACAGAATCACTTTTTTCAAAGATGATTTAGAGCCTTTGAGACTCTCCAATCTGAGATGAGATCACTACCAGCACCCTCCAACAGGCTGTTAGTGGAGGGTTGTTGGACCCTAACAGGTCTCAATTGGTGACCTGTTTATCGTCGGGTCCTGGTAAAATGCAGGCTCTTGCATTCACATATGCTAAAAATACCACGTACCTGGACCACCTGGACCATCATGTGGATGAACACCATGTATTGAAACCTGAACCCTATGGATCTACATACCGAACCTGAGGTACGGTGATTGGAGACTACTTATGTAGGCCTGGAGAGCCCACATACCTTCTGAGAAGGTATGTGGATCCATAGGAGAATGGATCATGACATCTTAAATCTCAAACCTTTCGAGGACCTTGCTGCAAGGAAACTGGTCTTGTGCTCTCTCCCCACCCCACCTGAAAAAGATATTGTTGAGCTGCGCACGCCGGCGATGCAAGGGTTGGAGACCTTCCATGGCCCAAACCGGACATGCAGCTGTGGCTCACTAAATTTTAATGCTGACAACGCCGCAATCGAAGGCCACCATCTCCACTACAAACAATCCTCCAAATGTCGCACGTCTTGAAAGGAGTTCACCAAACATTTTGCAGTGCGGTCCGTGTGGTCATCGGGGAGAACGCTGGGTTTGCTCCCGCTCCCCACTAAGACGGCCTCCAACCTAAGAGCAGTGGCCTCCAACCTAAGAGCAATGTCCTCCAACCTAGTAATTAGCCCAGAGGTGTCTTTTTCATTGAAGGCAAGTAGGTCGCAGTCCCACTCGTCTCCCCGAGACGTCGTCCGACTCCTTCGCGACGTCCCGTCCGACTGAACCCGCCGCAGGACCTCCATCCATCCTGAACAGGCGCCGTTGGACGGTGCCGTTGGACCGCTGAGCCCGTTCGGCCGGGGTGAACCAGTTCCATCAACGGCTCGGCGGTTCCGGTCTGGACGGCTGTGTCAGGACGGCTGCCAGGTGTGAAAGCCCGGTGGTGAAAAGGGCAGTTCCATATAGACATGGCGTGAAAAGGGCAGGCTTGTGTCAACGGCCTCAGGTGTGTTAGAAACGGTTGTGTCTCGGGTCCGGGATTTGCCAGTTTGTGTTTTTGGGGTTGGTTTTGCTTTTTGTGGTTCAATGTTTAAGATTAAGGACTGCTAAAGGCTATAAGGGACCTGAGGTTGAAATCAGTTTCGAGGTTGTTTCACCCGGACAACCCGGTGGTTTTCATCGGTTTTCACGGTGTAAGGCACCCATGGCAGCCATGCTGCATCACTTGAGCCATTCTCCCCTCTCTCTCCCTCTCTATTTGTGTCCATAGTCAAGTTGCGGAGGACAGGGACCTGCCAAATTGGTGGGTTTTTCATCTATGTCTCTTTGAGTCTGGCCCGATGTGCTTCCTCTATCGTGCCGCATGTTCTTCTGTTTGCATGACACTCGTTTAAGGAACTATCGGACATCAACTAATTAAATGATAATTTGTGCCTGTCCGGCGATTGCTACTTGTGCTTCTACGTTCCCCTTCTGTGTATGTTCATGGCGTTAAACAAGGGCTGGTTCTGTTTTTCCTTGATAATCCCAGTTGGGCCGCACTATCCAGTGGGTTTTCTACAATGTCAAGGCTCAAACCCACCTGTCGGGTGTGTCGGGTATGCCGGTGTCACTCGGTGGGCTTGGAGTATATAGATGGATCAAACGCGCCACCAATCGGGCCAGTTCGAACGCCACCAATGTGGGAAAACTCGAAGGACGTGCGAAGGACGTTCCCATCGTCTGCAGGGCTAAGGGAACTCATGAAAATATCAAACCTATCAATAGCGATGGGCTCCAACCTAAGAGCGATGGCCTCCAACCTACTAGGCATGGCCTCTCACCTAAGAGCGATGGCCTCCAACGTAAGAGCCATGGCCTCCAACCTAAGAGCCATGGCAGCCATGGCCTCCAACCTATATACGCAGAATGCTCGAGGAAGTCCATTGGGGTGAAGCGCTTGGTCTCGCTGGGTCTCCGAAGCGCTTTTTGGTCAAACGCATCGCACTGGACCACCCGACCCGACCGTCCGACGTGGGTCGGGTGGGTCGGGTGGTCGTGGTGGTCGTTTGTATCCATAGCACCATCGACTTAAGTGGACTGAGCCGTAGAAGTGGAGCACTGTGCACACATGGAAAATGGAGAAAAATGGAGAAAAACAAACAAACACCATCACACACCCCTTAGCATAGGATCATCGTTATGTGGATGGCATGGCCTCTTAGATGACCATTTGGTTGTCCACTGAGTGAACATTTGGTCGGAAGGTCGAGAACCAAGATGTGTCGATCGGTTTTGAAAGATGGACAATCACTCATCATCTTAGCTGGAGCAGGCGCTTCTGGCCACCAGCTGTGATTTTCGGGCCTTGGAGGGCCCCAAAATGCCCAAATCACCGACGGAATCAGGGTGAAAATTGGGAGTTCTCCAACCATTCAGCTCAATTGTACTTCCCCCTTTTACAATAATGTCCTCCAAGTGGTGCCAAAGAACTTAACTATTATATAAATACTCTCCGGCCCGCACTGTGCGGTTTTCAATCCAAGCCCTTCGAAACAGGCGGAGAAGCTCTGCAAAATCTTTGTGGAGCCGCTGAATGTGATGCAGGTGGTCGTTTCGGAGGTTGGAAGTGACGGACTTAGCACTTTGACCGGACTCACCGGTCTTGATGTTTTCGGGTCTAGCTTCAGTCGTCAGCCGCGGCACGGAAGCTTCCCTGGGCCGACGGCCGGAAGAATGGGGACCCCCTGAAGACCGGCCTCAGTGACGATGTCCGATGTTTTTGGCAACAGCCGGGTGGAGTTTCGTCTGACTTCAGACCTGGCAACCTGACAGACATCGACGCTGTTGCAGTGGTGGGGGGTTTCAAGAAATATGGCGCCCAACGAGTAAATCGGCCGAAGAGATGCAGGTTGAGCCACTTTCTAGAAAGGATTCTGGGGGTCAGGAACCAGTAACCAGTTGTCCGCTGTGCCAAGAGGAGGAAAGGTTGTGCATAAAGACTGACAAACATCAGCAAACGGGTTGCTCCTCTAGTAGCGTTCTTTGCATGAAATGAAGCTGTTCCTCAACTAGTTAGGCGCCAAAGTTCCAGGTGACATCGAATTGAAAGAGAGGTTCGTACCTTGGAGGATTCTTAAAGGCTTGAGCAGCGATCCTTGACATCGACACAAGACCTGCGCAAGCTTGACAGTGTGTGCACCTAACCCCTCAAAAGTGACACCCCAACCTATGCAGCTGGCCACATCCGTTGCAGCCTCTTCATGCAACCAGTGTGCCACCAGTGTGCCACTGGCCATCCAATGCCACCTGACTCTCATCAGCGAAATCCAACCCCGGCGTTGGTCATCTGGATCTGCCAAGTGGAAGGAGCCCTCACCGTGATGGCGAGCGAGAAACGGCCGAGCGCATGGCGAGCGAGAAACGAGCGCATGGCATCGAGGTCTGGACCTGCAGGCCTGTCTCAACAAGAGCAGCTCTGCAAGTCTTTTAGGCGAGAAGCGGTGGAGGTGATGGGAAGAAGCGACACTTGCGCCCCACAAGTTCTCAGTTCAGAAGATGTCAGAAATGGCTTGGCCCAAGGCCCTATCGGTGGAAACGGCTAACTTCTCCTTGGACCAGAGGGATCAGGCTGCCTGTGCTGGTATAAGACTCAAGACCCAGGTTCCACCTCCGGTCATTGGTACGTTGACTTTTAGGCTATGGTTGTTTTGCTTTAGATTGAATCTCTTGGTTCATCAAATGAGCAAAACCAACTGTCATTGTCGTTGTCATACGGTCACCTGGAGCCAAGCCATGTGCGGCTTGAGGGAGTGGAGTTTTGCGGGGTAGCACTTCTCCAGCCTCGGTGACTTTGTAGGCGACATCAGGTGCACCCGTACCAACACCTAGGCAATTCAGGATCCCTCCCAAAGCAGGAGCCAATCTGCTTTTGGCACTTGGTGTGTGGATTTTGGGGCCTCCCCAAGATTCTCAAATCCCCAAGAAGAGCAAACTCGAAGAAGAGGGTCGCCAGGGTGGTCCAAACCAGAAGAACGGCACCAGGATGATCCTTTTGGATGTCCGACGTGACGCTTCATGATCCACGTATAAGCCACACACCTATCCGGAAGTACTTGGCATTGAGCCGGGGATGGTCTCCACCGTCTTTTTGCCACGTGCTCCCCGGGTCGGACGCGGAGGGCAGCCTGGCGCAGACATGTGACGCTGTGACATGGTGACACCCAAACAGATGGACGCCGTCTTTGTGCAGGCATTTTCAGGAATTCACTCTTCTAAGAGGTGCGCCGAAACATGAATTAGGTTGGAGGCCATCACCAGTAGAGTAGAGGCAATCGCCAGTACTTGTAGTGTGGAGGCCATCGCTAGTAGGTTGGAGGCCATCGCTACTAGGTTTGTAGTTGGGTTGGCCATGGTTGGCCTACTCAAAACCATTCAATGAGCGCCACTGAAGCAATGCAACCTTTGCCAAACAGAACCAAATATTCTGTTCATTGCCTTGGTCGGTGTGATAATCATGCCACGAGAGAGTGGGTGTCCATGTTGGAGGGCGGACTCGCCCTGGAACTAACACGGTTACGTGGATGGCACCACCTGATGGGAAGTGGATTTCATGGCCTTCCGAACTCGGGGCCAGGCCATCCACGTAGCCATGTTAGTTCCAGGGAGTGTACTTCTTTCGCGAAGGCCGCCGGACACCTGAGACGACTCGAGTGCTTGGAGGGAGCACGCGACATCGAGTGCGAACGGTGGAACAGGGGCCGAAGACGACATCCCACTGACTTCGAGCCCATGTAAAACGTGACTTCGAGCCACCAGGAGCCCAGATAGATGGACTATCTGCGATGAACACTTCGCAGACCCGCCATGTAGTACAATGTAGTGCCTAAGATATACCTGGTCTTCCTGGTCGTCCTCACCAGAAACAAGTCTGGATGTTTCCCCAAACAACCACTTTGTGTATAGAGGACCTTAAATGCATTTAAATGCCATATTTGAGCCACCATTTGTTTCTGGTTGTTGAGGTTTCCAGGTATGACATGCAGTGCATGTTGTAACATCGGGGTGCTCAAAAAGAGATCGATGTTTTCGTACCTGGCGGTCGAACTTCACCCCATCTACGTTCCCGAAGTCGGGAGGAAGCAACGAAAAAAGAACAAAGAGATCAATCGTCATCAATGAATCGAACAAATGACAGAACACCTCATCCAGACAGGCCCTCATGTTGAACACAGTGATTCATGTTCTTTTATCTATTCAAGATCAATTCATTGAACACATGATAAAAAGAACACATCATCAAGACAGGCCCTCATCTTCACCGAGGCCATGTGTGTTGGGGGTCGGGCAATTGCCGGTCAGACTGGCTTGGAGGTGCTTGGAAGGGGCCGACGAGACTCGTAGCGATGGCCTCCACCCGGGAGGTGCTTATTTACTGGCTTTGGACGTGTCCACCCTCTACTGCGTGTCCGGATGCTCAGAGTGAGTTCAGGTGCCGCGTAGGTGGCCTTTGGTCGGTGCACGTGGGAGCGAGTGAGCCAACCGAGCGAACAGCAGAAACGGTTCGACTGAAGTCTGTGCGGATTTTCTGGAAATCCAGAGGTTTCCTCAGAAGTGAACACAAGTGATGTAGATGGTTGATTCAAACACTCTTCCCCCCATTTGGATTGTAAGACTTATTTATAGATTGTTCTTTTATTTATTCATAGACTATGCAGTCTATGATGTCACATCAAACAAGTGCTGGCAAGTGCGCTTCGTCCGCCAACTGTTCGTCTTCCGCCAACGCAAGCCCCATTCCTAGAGTCCCAGCCTCACCAAGGGTTTTGGGCGATTCTGTTTCATTGCTTGACATGCGGCAGATAGGTGGATAGGTGGATAGCGAGATGTTGTGTGGCACGCAGGGAAAAAGCCGAGGCAACATTCATGGCCAACGGGATGAATCATTTGGTGTTCCGTTGCAGAGGATACTTCGACCAAGCCCGTTATTGGGGTCAGCACACGGTCTGTTTGTGATTCCTGAGTGCACATGTGTCTCGTGTGTGCCTCTGCCAAACACACTTTGCTAACGCACACACACAGCGTTCGGCGTTCGTGCATGCCAAGGCTTGCAAGCAGCTTTGGAGTGCCAGTCACATTGGTGGTGGAAGAGGCATTTGGATCAGCCAGGGGCATGGCGGGTGTGACGCAAGGAAGATGAGCACCTTTCCATGTTTTCCATGTTGCTGAAAGCTTCTTTGACCAGTGTCTCAGCCAACAAGGTGCTCGAAGCTATCAACCAACCATGTTGATGGCCACCATGACATGGATGTAGATGTTGCGACTAGAGTCTAGTCTAGAGCCTGGCTGGAAGACAGTTTGTCCTTCAAACAGTGGGCATTCTGACCATGTCGATGTTACTGTAGCTCGTTTTGGGTGAGTTAATGACTGCTGAACAGTAGTGCCTAGGCCATTCCCTTGTTTTGTAGGGCTTCCAATACTTCCGGACTCTCCATGTAGGATATTGCCCCTTTTTGGCCAGGGGACGACACCAGCTTTCCACATTGCCCCCAGTACAAGCGCTGTCCAAAAGACGTCAACGTCTCACCAGTCAAGTTTGTGCAAGAGAAGGGCCAGAATCAACAGAACAAGAATCTGGAAAGATAGAATTGGAAGTGCCATCTCAAGCCCCATCAAGGGCATAGGTATCAAGGGCATAGGTATCCCTTACCCCCCATTTTTGGTGTCAGATGTTCCAAACAAAAGACGCCCTTTGCACCTGGTTCTTTGCACCTTCTGTGTCAATAACACCTGTTGATGGGACTCCGGGACGGAGTTGCTGACGCCCCCTTTGAAGGACGTTGAAGGACTTTTCGCCCATTCTTGGCGAAACCCAAAAAACATGAAAGACTGTGACGAAATATGACAACAGACTAAAAGTAAAAACAGAAAACCTATCGAAATCCCCACAAGAAGCGGAGCATCTGGGGATCAAGCTTTATCCCTAGGGATCCAAGTACCTTTTCAGAAGGTGCTTGGACCCTCCAAACCTACATAACAGTGTCTCCAATCACCTTCTGAGAAGGTACTTGGATCCCTAGGGTATTGGAGGCTTTCTTGTTGCTCAGTCTACAGTGACAAGAGATTGGTTTTTGCATGTCGGGCGGTGTGCTCTTCAGAGCCTGAGAGGTGGAGAAAACGGCGTTTCCATGTTCTTCCCGCGTTTCCCTATGGTGTGGGTCAATGTGGGGTGGTGAATCAAGAGTAACCTCTGGTAAGGCCTTTGGTTTGGGAAGAAGAAGCTTCTCAGGATGATCACCTTGGGCGGGACGCTTTTGAAGCTGATTTCAGGTGTCCGATTGTTGAAGGTTGAACGGCTAGGCTTCCGCAGGTGAAAGAGGACTTATACATTCCAACATTCCATTCATTCCATGTGGGTCTTCTTGATGGCAATGAATGCCAATGGACCATACAATTTGGACCATCGAGTGCCATGGTGGACCATCCGCGAGCCAGCAACGCTTGTATCCACATGCTCCACCTTTTTGAAAAGGGGGGCTTCTTCCGACCAATCGCCCAAGTGGGTTCTGAGCAGTGAATAGCTCCTAACTCCTCAACCCCCAAACGCAGAAAAAGTGAACGCCAAAACACTGCATACACACCAGCGAAACGCTGGCTTCTCGAGGCTTCTTAGAGTTGAAGTGGACTTGTGGACTTGCCTGGTGTGTTACTTCGGCCAGAGGGTCTCATTTCAATCCAACTTGCTTCCAATCCATGTCGTTATAGGCCAGCCAGGTCGGGAGTAGCCCAGGGGCCCAGGCTCTTTCCAAAGAAGGGGCCCGGTCTCGCCGAGACGGTCGCTTTGGCAGCGGTGTGGGCACCGCCGACCGACCGTGGATTGTTCCCGGTCGGCGACGAGCGACGAAGCTCACGAGCGACGAGCGGCCTCTTCTCCAGGTGAGTTTCGGCATCGTGAAATGTTTGAAGGAGATCTTACGGCAGGCACTGAGAGGAACAGCACCACTTATCGTGCTTTGGGTTGTGCCACAAAGTTGCTTTTGGGGAGTCGGAAGGCTGTTGGGTCAGATAGTGGGATCTAACTAGAAAATACCTTAGGCTTCAGGCTTCCAACGACCATCGATTTAACGTTTCTACCGGAACTACTATACTCAGAACATCTATAAGGAGTCTACGCCACTATTTTTCATCATTTTGGACTTTCAGTGAATACCTAGACACCCTAGACTGGGTAGCTGGGTAGCTAGTCGGCTGATCTTGTAGAAAGTCGCTTGGATGCTGCTTTTCCATGCGGGGATCGATGCAAAACACCGGCAACACACCTGGGTTCGATAAGGTTTGGAGATCTTTGGAGTATCAATTTATGAGAAATAGGTCAATTCCTTTCAGTGAGCATAGTGAGCATACAGGGCAAGACTATCCACATTCGACATGCTGGATTCCTTTGGGATTGCTCACGTTCTTTATAATGTTGGCTTGGGATTAGGCAAACCCCCGTATTAGTCTACCCAGCGTTCAGGCCCCAATAATAACTAATTTGAACTATGAATTTCCACAGTCACCACCCTCTAATAAACATTTTGCTTGGCTGAACCCCCCGCTATTAGTCTACCCCCTGTCCCACCAGGAAAAATATATTTACTCCAAATTCCAATTCTTCCAAATACTAATTCCCTTTCATTCCAATTCTTCCAAATACTAATTCCCTTTCATTCCAATTCTTCCAAATACTAATTCCCTTTCAT